TTGACGGTGGTAGGTCGACTCCTCAACAAGATCCAGTTATACAGTAAGTTCAGTGTTTGCAATGATTCTAGAACCATGTTGGATTGGTTTGGTCAGGGCTGCGGCCTGCACTCATGTGTTTGCCAGGTTCCCAACAGGGGACAGCACAAAGGCTGCTGTCGGGGCAAGTGAACCCTGCTGATACTTAGGATTGCAGGCTTTTGGGAGGCCAATATTGAGGCCTATTATGCAGACTAGACTCATCGTGCACCGACATCAGATCAAGACGAACAAATTGTGTTTTCCCACAAGCTAGATCGATGTGTAATGTATGACACTTGATCCGGAATTAAGATATTGAGTGCTCTGGCTGCCTATTGCTTGCAGGTCCAAGTGCTGGCCCCCTGGAGCGGGAGATTTCTGAAAGACTATCTTCGGGTGAATCTTTGTAGCATTTATGGCCCCGCAGGACACTTTTGCATTGCAATTATTTATGAATATTTGTAAAATACAGACTTGAGCTGAGGAGAGCAGTATCAGATCTGTTATGCGATCGGCCCAGGCCACATACAAGGACCTTCTATTCTGTTAATTGCACTGCGTGCTGTATCGATACAGAGCTAGAGCATACTCGAGCAAGTATACTTGGATCCATGGATACTTGGATAGCCTATATATAGAAATCCCAGGAGGCTCGGGGGCACACTACACGATGGACTGCAAAACTTGCATCTTACAAATTTGGGAGCAACTCATCGCGTGATTTCTTCCGGAACACTGCTCTACCAGTTGATTCTTTGTTCGCAACTTTAGTTCGCAACTTTAGTTTCATGCCAATTTTAATGCTTGATTGGCCGAGTTGAATTGTACCCGAGGAACCCACCATAGTGCCGGTTACTTGCAAAGATGCTGAGGGGAAACCATGTGAAACAACAATGGGCGTTCTTCTGCCAGGGACGATTATGGAGTACTTGATATCTGAGTGCGGATTGTCGCTGAGTGATCAGCTGGTGCAGAAGTATTGGTCACATCTAGAAGCTATGCAAGATGAATGGGCACTGAGCACTTCTTTGTTCCGTCACAATGCTGGGAGCAGTGTTTGGCCTCTAGGTTTCTATGGAGATGAAGCAGTTGTTGGGCTACAAGGCAACCCTCAATTGAAGGTCCTGGGACTTTGGATGAGTGTTGTACTTTTCAGGCCCCGTGCAACTCGCTTGAGTCGGTATCTTCTTTTCGTGATCGAGAGTGATAATGTGATGTCACTTGAGCAAACAATTTTTCCAGTGCTTCAATGCATTACGGATTCGTATAACCAGCTTGCGGAAACTGGAGCATGTGGCCGGCGGTGTTTGGTTGCAGAGATTCGTGGTGATCAACTTTTTCATCGCTTCATTTTCAAGCACAAAAGCTGGTGGCGTAAGTTGACACTTTGTTTTCGGTGCAAGGCACAGGCTGACAGTGGCCCCCTTGGGTACACCAATCCAGAATGTAGGTGGAGAGGGACTATGCGTGATACCAATCAGTTCATCAGGGAAGAACTTCCGCAGGATAGCTTGTGTGCCTTGATCTTATTCGAGAATCGAATTGAACAAATCAATATTGACTTTTGTAAAGCCTGGCTGAGTTAATAGCAAATTGTCGTTTTGGTGCTTACTAGTGCTAGTTTTGCCCTAGGCCCACTGACTCAGCCCTATTTCTTCCGGATGACATTGCTGAAACATTGCACCCTGCATATATTGAACTTGGGGCTTTTGGGAGTCTGCAACGGATCGATATTGCAACTCGACTTAAAAATTGTGCTAGCTTGACATGACTGTTCATGAGTGAACCAGTTCTTGTTGCCATTTCCGCCTAAGGGGAATGCTGGTCGAGATATCTTATTTCGGAGACCCTTCAACTGGGCACCAGGAGCCACTGAATAGGGCATACACAGATTTCACGTCTTGGAGAAAGCTTTGCCGCGTCCCCTCGTCCCAAAGGTCTTTCTCGGCCAAGTCTTTGGAGCGAGAGTCGTACGGGTACTACCTCAATGCTAAAGGATACAACTCGAGGGTTATTGCTGAGTGGTTGCTGAGAAAGGTCATCGATGTAAACCGATCTGATCAGTTCCGTGCCGCAGACAACCGGTCACATCTTTGTGAAATCGCATTGAGTCTTGTCAGCAAGCCGCGAGCGCGTCGAGCTGGGTTTAGTGTTATTAGACCTGGGAAAACAAGGGAGATCATGCATGATACGCACTTTTTGGCACAAGAACGTTTTTTTATATCATAGTTCACCCAGTTCTCGAGTGAGCGAAGCCATGGATGCCGAGTCGATTCTTTCGACACGTGAAATCATGATGGTGATCACATGCGTTGTGATTGCAGCTGGGACACTGTTGCTGTGCACCAACTTGGTCAAACAGACCATCTTGGACCTACGAAACCACATGATTGAGGAGAATCAGAACAAACTTCAAACTCAACTTGAAGAATTACGTGATCAAAAAGCATCCCTGGAGATTGAAATCGATCGTCTACGTTCGGAGATGGGAGGCACCAGGAACAACATACATCGTCACGTTGTGTACACAACCAAAACGGGTCTATGTTGGCATGCTGATGTCCATTGCCAGCACCTAAAATCGGTTTGTGCAGTGCATTTGCAACCGTGCAAGCGGTGTGTCCATTAATCAGTAGAACAAGGCAAACTATTGGGAGGGGAAAAAAGTGTGCTATGGGGGAGCCGGAGGGCGGGATCCTACGAATCCATCGGCTCCATGTCTTTGTGTAAACATTCAATGACATTCACATGACTCTGACGACATATCATCCATCCATTTAAACAATGAACTAGTCAAGAACTCTGTTTGTTCCGCAGGCAATCCCTGTAGAATACCTCGATCGATCCTTGTCCAATCATGAGGTGGCAAAGCCGCCTACTCCATTGAACCACCTGCCCTGCCATCCCAGGAGATCCCTATGCCGGTATTTTGGCCTCACTGAACGCTGCAAGCGCCAATTGTGGCATGGCAGCAGCATCAGCCAAGCATAGCCGCACGGGGCGGGGCGGTACGATATAGGATGATATAGGTGTTTCAGTGGTGGAGCATTTGAGAGATTGGTAAAGGGGCACGTGTTTTGTTCGCTAAAGAGTCCAATCACCTGGCCTAGCTAGAATATTGGTCCTCACTGGCTAGCCAAGGTCCCAACAACAAGCACAATCTATCTATGATGCTGGATGGGAGTTTCTGAAGGCCTACAGGGCCCTCAATGTATTGTCGATCAGGCTGGGCTGTGGCATGTTTGCAGGGGCATGCGCATGCATGTGTATGCATGTGTGTGCGCACATGTGTTTGCGTGCACTTGTTTCTGCTTTGATCCTTGCCAGCTCTGGACGGCTGGCCTGGATTATGGTGCCCAAGTGGCATGTACCTTTGATGCAGTCATGTGGTTAACCACCTGAAAAGATCAGTGGAAAATTCTTGGTTGATCTAGGTGGTTTTCCTCTTCCGTTAATATTCAGGGAATGTACCATGACTGGGACCAACCAAGTCGATGAGCCATGTCCTCGAGGATGTTGTTTTGGCAACACGCGCCTTGGACCAATCTGTGTTTTGATCTCTAACGTCGCAGTTTATCTTAGGCATTGAACAATGTCTTGAGTCAATCGATTGGGATTCTGTCCAAGGTGTCAACCCAAGATTTGAGCATACTTTCTGTGATGAGTCGGCAATGGGCTTGCTAAAGGCATGGGCCGTTAGATGCCGGCGGGTAAAGTCGAGGGAATCCGCTGTGCTTAGGCTATCTCGGGTTGCCTTAAGGACCCTGAGGTGGCGACTGCGTGAGACCTTCAACAGAGATGAGAGATAAAAAAGGATCAACTTTTGTGCACTTGGTGCGAGTTTGGCTGCACCCACTGCAAAATTCTTGATACCTCATGTCAAAAGTAAAACTTAGTCATTGTTCATGGACACGACAATGTCTGAGACATTGTTCAATGTCTAAGTTTAACTGCGACGTTGGAAGTTAAGGGAGTACCTTTACATTTGCATACCTTTACTACTTGAATGTTCCACCTTGGAATGATTGAACCCACTGACGAGACTCCTTGTTCGTTCAACCAAAGCCCCCGCGATGCGACTCGACTCGACTCGACCCCCTGCGACCTGCTCCACCTGCTCCAGACTCCAAACGGTGGGTGTTTTCTGGGGAACTGGGGGCAGCAAACTGGGGACAGGGAAATTGGGACAGGGAACTGGGCTGTCCAGGAATCCCAGCAGGTGAAACCATCTTTGAAGCATGAAAACATGGAGGTTTTGGAGGTGGTGTTCGCTGGTTTTCACGGCTAGGGAAACACCAGGTCTTTCATGGTTTGTAGGGCCTCTGGCAGACACTCCAACAGAGATTGGACCATTTTGCTTCAGAAGTTACTGGAACGCGCCATGTTACTCGGCCTTTCGAAGAAGTCGTCAGTCTCTGTCCGAGTTCCACCCATTGTCGCTGGCACCAAAGGATTTTGCAGGGCATTCTTTGTTGATTTTGAATTTTCTTTAAGGGTCAAAAATAATATCTTATTTACCCTAAGGATTTACATACCCCCTGAGGTACTGGACCCCTCGGAGGGTATGTGGATCAATAGAGTTTCATGGTGGGCTTTAATGTGGATGAATATCCAGTCCCATGGACTGTTTGGAATTGGGTGACATTCCTCGACACGTTGTTGGTCGATTGGGTAGCCATCCACCCTAGAGGATTTCACAGGCCATGGCCTGGGCCATGGCTCATGGCTGCTTCAGAAGGGTCTTATACTATAAAACATTATATAACTACTGAGCAGTGGTTTCAGACTTCAGATATGTTTATGTTCAACCTTTACTTGGGATGATTGAACCCAACACCAACCAGACTGCAATTGTTTTCCCAACAAAACTCACTTTCTGTCTTTGCATAGAATGAATGGTTCTTCCACCCGTCTCTGTAGCCACCGCAAAGGCATGGCATTCACTCGTCCGACCATGGGAAATCGACGTGCTCCGCCAGGGGTGTTCTGCGTCGACGGAGACGCTGCAGACGACGCAGGCGAGATGTCGCTGTCGCTGTTGGCCGCAGGGTGGCACCGAGATGATACCGAGACGAAGAAACATCCAGGAACGATGGAAGATGGCCAGCAGGAATGCTTCGCAGGTATTTTGGACATGCAACAGACTCTCGAAGAGACCCACATGGAACCTGAAAACCGCTGGTTTGTAGAGGAAAGTAGTCTTCCAAAGGTCCATTTTCAGGTTCCATGTTAACCTTCCCGGGTGTAGACTCTTTGTTGATATTTCAAGCCCCGTGGACTGAAGAAGTTTTACGCTCCAGGTTTGGTTTGTTCAGCGTTCAGCCACGTCCACATCTGGAACCGCCGCTCCACCCATCGGCCACACTCACACCGCAAAACGACGAGGCCAACGACGAGTGGATGGCATCGCTGAGCCTGGCAGCCCCGGAGGCGGGATCCGTTACGGTAAGGTCAACCATTTTCTATTTGACCTCATGACCTCATTGAAGTCCATTTATGTATATTTCAGCGGGTCAAAACCTGGGAGCTTAGAGTAGGTTGACCTCCCTGTTTACACATTTATGTATATTTCAGTGGGTCATAACAACCTGCAGCTCCAAACCTTAAGAGTAGTTTGACCTCCCTGTTTACAACATGTTCATGTCTAATTCTGTTCATGTTCGGTTGGTCAACCATGGTTGGCCTCTACCCAACTGCCACTCCGACTGGAAGTGGAGTGGCCCCCCCTGCTCGGAAGGTCGTCTCCCCGTCTTACGGACCCGGAAAGCCATCCACTTCCATCGTGTTCGTCGTGTTCCTCGGAATCCACGCTACTTCGACAGCTACACGACAGCACTGTTCAGGGTACGATGAGCTACCATCCGTTCGACAGCTGCTTCCACGGACGATCAGTCAGAGGCATTCCCGGAAGAGGTTTGCTAAAACCTATTCTACGAACATCGTGGAAAGCCCGGGACATTCCTGGAACCCGGAGCTATTGGTGGACATTTTTGTGGAATGGTGGGCCAGTAGGAAGACTGACCGTAACAAAAACGTAGAAACCTGACCCTTTTCTCCACACACACTCCATTTAGCCTTCATTTGAAGGAATGTTTGGGTTTGCAAGCAAAAATTGTGAGGTTCGAATTTGTACTGATAGCATGCGATGCTTAAGCCCAGTCAGCGAGATCACAAGTAGGAAGGATATCGAGCGTAGGTTCCAATGTTGACAGAGTAGTTTGACCTCCCTGTTTACAACAATCATGTCTAATTCTGTTCATGTTCGGTTGGTCAACCATGATTGGTATGATATGTTTCTTGACAGATATGATATGACTCCCTTGATGAGCTTTGCTTTCTGTGCTCAACCCCATCCAATACCGAGCATGGAGTCTTTTGATGTCTTTTGCCCATGTATTGGAGTGTGAAGCTCATCAGAAGCATACCTTCTCCGTCAGCATCAGCGCTTTGGCAGATGCTGCTGCTCCCATGCTCTGTTTTTCTTTTGGAGCCAGATGACACCGCCACTGCCGCAGCCCCAGTAGATAAGTATGCATTATCCATAGGGGTGTGTATTTCCATAGGGAGACGCCCAACCAAATGGGCTGTGGTCAATTTCTCTCTTCCAGCGGGTCGCACTGGGATGTCTCCCTATTTCAATACACACCCATATATTAGTGCTTGCTGCATGTCAGGCCGGGAACCCAAGAGCGATGGCCTCCGACCTACTGTTATGGTGCTATTGTTGTGTTGACCTTTTCCAATAAATGCTTGTTGACAATAACATTTTTTGCCAGGAATTCCGGCGTCCCACCCCATTACAGTGACCCAAAAGCCAACTGTTGATTAAGAAGTTTGACATCTTCATCAAAACAGTGTTCCCAAGTTAGAATGCCAGTGTCTTTAGCATAGTCTCCAAGCCAGGTTTGGCCAAAAGTCTTCCGGTCCATGTGAGTTTGGGAAGGTGAAGATCTACCGAGGCCGTTGATTTTAAGCCTCAAGCACGTAGCATCACAGAATATCTCACAAATCATTTGCGCAGCAGCACGCACAAAGCATCTCAATTCCGTCACAGCCTGAATCGAGGTCGATGATCCCCCCACCCTACCCCCTATTCTGTCAGGGCATCGTCCGTGCAGGCAGAATTTTGCGTCGTCTATGCACGCAGACTTTCTCATTTACTCACTCACTCTCACTCTCACTCACACTCTCACTCACCTCACTCTCACCCTCACTCTCTCTCTCACTCACTCTCTCTCTCTCTCTCACTCACTCACTGATTTTCGAGCTTTGTTCATGCAAGTCTTCATGCATCAATTGCTTCTTGGGAAGGGCCTGTTGTTGGCGCCAAAAATTTGCATTCTTGCATCACACATCATCAGTTTGGCCAAGAAAACAAAACAGTTCTTAACCTAAGAGCCATTGACTTTTGATTTGTTATTGAACTTATGTCTGCACTCACTCATATAAAGGGCAAAAGTCATACTTCAGCATTGGCATACTCCTGAATATTTGCAGCTGGTGCCGTGAAACAAACAGAGCGCTGGCTCCTTCTATCATAAGCAGATCTTCCTGCATGTTCTCGTAAACTGACTGTGCATGGGACAATGCATTTGTATACCGCATTTCTTTACTGAAGGGCCAGGGCCAGGGTATTTACAGTTCGGACTCGTTTCCAACACAAATATCTCACCATATTCTAAGCAGCCTAAATAGAAGAAAGTCTTCTTACAACGACATCGTTTGTTTGAAATGAATATTCTGGCAAAATCGAGGTGCACAAGTGGTCAAATCTTCTATTTGTAGTTTCCCCGTCGCGAAAGTTGAAAATGAGCCGATTTGAAGCATTTCCGGCCCTCAACTGTGAAATTTCCAGCTTAGCCACCATTGAGTTGCAAAGTCTCGCCCGCACTGCAGTCTAGGACCCAGATTTGAACGCTTTTACCTCTTTGCGCCTTTGGACAAAAGGTCGCTTAAGACCTTAGCACCGGTTTGCATTAGAGTATGAATTTCAGACCTTAGTGATATGTTGGAAAGCCTTGGGATACTGGGAAACCTTGGCGCTTTGTCCTTTGCCTAAACTACAAACACATCATATTCCCGCAGCCTGTTGGGCTTCCATCTCTGGGTTTGGGGCAGGTGCCCAAGGTGGGTTTGGGGCAGGTGCCCATGTCTTTACCAGACCGAAAAGGCATGGAACTCCAGGACCTTGCGCCTCAAGAATTCAATCCCCTTCTGTTTTCTGAGCCTCCGAAATCCAATTCCACTATGTGTTTGGAATCCACGAAATTCAATTCCCTTTTGTTTTTTTTGCAATCCCCGAAATTCAATTGGAATCCTCGAAATCCATTCCTGTTTGTTTTTTGCAATCCCTGAAATTCAATTCCGTTATTCCTCTTGTTTTTTGGCATCTATTCCCCGAAAACACTTATTGAAATCCACAAAATTCAACTCCCTTAGGTTTTTGAAATCCCCTAAAATCAGTTCCCTTATGTTTTTGAAATTCCGTGGAAAATGAGTTCCCTTATGTTTTTTGAAATCACCGAAATCCAACTCCCTTATGTTTTTTGGAGTCTTTGCCTTTGAAGTTCAATTCCCGCAGGCATTGCTGGTGATTTGTTGTGCTGTTTTTCGCGGCCGGTGAAGCCGGTGAATGCTGGTATTTCGGGGTTGTGTTCTGGTGGTTGTTTTCCGGTTCTCATGTTCCTTTGCTTCCAGATGTTGGTTTCCCGGCGTGTTTACTCTTTCTTCCATTATTTTCCTTATTCCCCCATGGGGTCCTGCGTTTTGTTGTTGTCGTCGCCTGTTGCGTTTCCACGGCGCATGTGTTTCATGATTGTGAGCGGTTGACCTTTGCAGGTTGTACGACCCGGCAGTCATTCTCAACTGCATGATGCCCTGGTTGCTCGCAGGGAATGTAACGCCGAAGTTCTCTGGTAGTTCCCTGCAGGGCTTGACCAACGAAAACTACCGCTACAACAAGACCGCTTTGGAGATCCAGTTTGGGACTGCAGCAAGGCATCAGGTTTTTGAACGGTTGCAGTCGAACCCTGCAGGGCACGCCAGAGCCCACTGGATGACCTGCGCGCGACAGCGCGATAGCCGCGCCCATATGTTGCAGCAACCTGCACCGCGTAGGGCTGGACCCCGCCCCGATTGAACTGAACAAGCTCTTGCAAAAGGAGGGCCTGCTGCAAACTGGCGGGTACTAGGCCATGAGCATAGCCAGGGTGGCTTTGCATGCCTTTGAACCAAGTGGTTCAGGGCATCGGGGCAGGCCCCAGCTACCCTGCAATCTTGACCAAAGCCTATGGGATGATGCCCAGATGCACGCCGGGGCGATGTCAGGGGTTCTAGCAACAGGTCTTCTTGCACAGCCAGCGATGGAAGTTGTGCTTGGGATTCGCAAGAGCATTCCTAGCTATTGCTTCTGCGACTTGGCATGCTTCCTATGCCTTGGCAAGTTCTAGGTTCGTCAGCCTTTCTGTTGCGCCACTGGAAAACAAAAACGGGACAAACAAACAAAACGTCCTTCCCGTGTGCCTGCGGCTTGCAGTGTCTTGCAATGATAGCTTGCCTCTTTTACCTTAACGCCTTGTTTGCTGAGGCAATTTCATGTGTGCCATCTTGGAGGTGGAGCCGCACATCCACAATGATCCAGAGAGCCCAAAAGGATAGGTGCATGAAATTACTCACACTCACTCACACTCTATCCCTCACCTCACTACCTCACCTAAGTCGCTATTCGTTGATGTGCTCTCAGATGTGTGCTGTCTCTAACTTCCATAGGTTTTTGTGTTTTCTAAGAGCTCTAGCTGTCGAGGTTTTGGTTGACTAGCTGTGTGGCGAGGTTTTGGGTCAAAGGACACATGTGGTGGGTCAAAGGACGGTCTATTCTGGATAATAAGAACATCAACTTCAACCAATTTGGCAGGATACTAACCTTCCTTCCTATATCGTCCAGGAAACTCATTCAGTGACATGACGGCTATGCACATTGAAGAGCTGACTGGTGTGTCCAGTCCAGACCGAATGGCTCCCAAGCCACGCCGAAGACCTGCGGCCGTGGGCGTCAGAAAGAGACCGGCCAAGGCGACTGTTGAGATGGGAGTTCTCAACTGCTGAGAAGGTCTATGAGCAGGTTAGTGAGTGGGCGCAGTGCAGAGTAGCTTGCAGCGCCAACAACGGGCAGCGACGAGAGAAGCGTATGTATGTGCGCTTCGCTTGCAGAGAGTGCACCAAGTCTTCTGTTTGTCGTTGGCATGGAGTTGCCTTGTATGACGCATCTGCCAAAAGACTAGTGTTGAGAGCGACGGAGGTGTGGACGTGGAGGATTTCATGCTGGTGTGCAATTATTGGCCATGTATGCATACCTTCAGCACCCCTTTGCATACAATACCTTGGACGTCCTCTATGCAAGAATGTAGACAATGGCAGGACTCAGCCGACAATCCAGCATCTGCATGCCCTCCGAGAGATGTTCGTTTCAGATCGTGCTGGTGCAGTACGCGAGGTGTGTGGCTTGGGGAATCCGCAGTCCAAGTCACAGGCCTTGGACCGCCTTTGTTTAGTGATGCAGGGTCCGAAGAGAACAGTGCGCGCAGGTTCCGTGGACTCCCGTCCTCGGCTTGGCATGGCAACGTTGTGTGGTATGGGTGCCAGGAGTTGTCCTATCAAGGATTTGTGTACACACCCACACGAGCTACCTTTTGACAGGGCCGGTGATTTGTCCAGTTTGTTGTTCTGATAAACGCTGAAGCATTCGACAAGGTCTGTAAGAAAAGTTTGAACTGCTAGTTTACGACTGTTATATCATGCACTAAGGTAGCGACTAAGAATATGTAGTTGCTTTTTTCGCCAAGTACATTTGTACTGCACGCCTGCACCGTTTGTCGCTTGTTGTTGTGTGCTTGTTGGGGTCCTTGGTCCGTGGGTGGCTTTAGAATCATGATCGACACACTATGGTTTGCACATAAAGATGCTGAGCATGCAAGATTGGTATGCACATGAAGTTGTTGAGAGTGCAAATACTGTATGCACATGAAGAGGCTGAACTGCTGAACATACAAATTCGGTATGGACATGCACATGTTAACCTGTTAATCAATGTTAATCATGCAATTGTTTCTTTTCACAGGAATCTTCTGACCATGCAAGGATGGTATGCAAACAACGATCTTGAGCGTTTTCATCGATGGTTGTGATGCTTTGTTAGGTTTACCCTCATGGTGGTCACCGCTGTCAGGGACCACCGGACCGACGTGACAGTTGGGCCACTCGTTCGTCCATCAGGCCTGCTTGACCACACCTTTGGTGCTGGCCATGGATCCTTCAATACAGGTGTTGGTGGGGCGTTTGGGGCGTTTGGGTGAGCCAGGTGTTGGGGACGCACCATTTCAACAACAAGAGATGGTGTGAGGTTCTGTTTGGATCCTTTTCTCTGAAGTGGTTGTTCGAAGTGTCATTTTTAAAAAAACACTGGGGGGGGGTTGGCAGAGTAATCAAAGTCGCTTGGCCGAGAAAAGGGTTCGAGTGGAAGGGCCTAACACAGGTATTCACCACCCCGAGTGCACCTGATCGCGAGGCATGGAGATTCATTTTTGTCAACTGGCATTTGTCAGAGTGTTGCGTAGAGTGCAGTATCAAAAGTCACAATGCCACCCAAGGCTTCAGAAATCATGTTGGATACAAGCACCATGTTTCCAAATCAGCACATGTGTTTTTTAATTAATATTGCAGTTTATGAAATCTTAGCCCACAACGGTTCCTCCCGGCGGAACTCGTGTTCTGGTGTTCGTTTTGTGGCATCCAGTGGCATCCAGGTTCAAGGGATGCGGTTCACGGTCTTTGACGAACGAGATCAAGTTCATCCGGTTGAAACCTCAGCAAAGAAAGGGACTCGAAGGGGTTCTCGGTCAGTCCACGTCGCTTTTGGTCCAGCCTAGCTAGCATCCAGCGGGATGCAGAGGTTTTTTTTGAGTTGTGTTTGCGTGTGTGTTTGTAGCCCGAAGATTTGCAACAACCAGTTGCCTTTTGGCAGGAACCTTGCTTCCTGACATGCTGCCAAACGGTGGTCCTCAATTGGCCAGTGGATATGCATAAGATTTCAAAAGGTTAAGCATTATATAAAACAAAAAAATCAACCCATCCATCTATGGCCAGATCATTCTTGTGTTTACATTCAAAAAGCACTGTGCTGTTAGCTCCCTGTTTTTGTTCAGGATCACTAGTAGCTAAGTTTCCATTACTTGCGAGATTCGATGCAGAGAATAGCTGGACAAAACCTAACCACCAACGGCAAACAATCTCTAGATAATGTTTGCACATGCCCAGAGCAGCGGAGCAGGTGGCATTTTTGTCTCAGCATCAGCGTCGTCTCGGTCGTGTTGGGGTCGGTGGTGCAAATGCCCAACGTTTCAGTGGCTTGGTGTGAGTACAGTCTGAGGTCTCGGTGGTGGAGCTACGAAGATTGAAAGCTATGGGAAGTACACCCGTCCGGTTTCCAACCATCATTTTTTTAAATGCCTTTACCGAACAAGCAGTGTGTTACTCGTGGACTTTACAGGACAACGCCAGGTCAACAATTGTAAACATGAAACTTAGTGACTGGGGTATGATAGTACATGACAGTGGCATACTATGCATCTTAGTTCCAATGCGCGGCCAAAGTTGACCTGGCCCATGAGCGCAAGTCAAGTCCTTTCTCCCAATAATTTAGGAGACCTTGAGGGAATCTGGCCCGCTTCGCAGCAGCCGCTTTGCGGCTTTGCTTCGCCCTGGCACAGATCTGCTGGAAGAGGAATCTTTGTAGCCGGAACAATCGGACTAGACGCTCCATCTCTGAAAAGGGACGTCCAACAAGACTTGCAGGTGCTACCAAGTTTTCCTTACCCAGTCCCCAGAGACAGTATAGCAGTGAAAAACTCCATATGGTAGGTGAATGTATGTATTATGGGGACAGCCTTCAGCGTATTGTGGCCAACAAAATTCTGATGCGCTTTCAGCATTGGACCTATATTGTCCTTGGACTCCCAATATTCTTTACATCGTTGTGAAAAACCATGATCATTTGCCGATTTGCCCTGTTGCTATCGAACCGCTAGAAAAGAACATATCCCATACACTCCATGTATGTCATATATGCCTACATTGACCCCCC